AGAAAACTTAATACAAAAAAAAAAAAAAAAAAAAGAATAGAGATGAATGGATCGATAACAAAAGGACGAATCACAAAATGGGATACTTGTATGTCACGATGTTATTCTCGGAATACAGCGCAGAATTTTCATGAAGGCCGTCAAGGTGTTATCAGACGTTAAGTGTTCGGGTGATACGAGATTGCACATTTGATAGCGCTTTGCGATCTGTCTTCATCCCGTGTCGCGAACAAACAGCTGTGAATAAATACGATATTTTACACGTTGTGCTAAAACAGGTCGACTGTCAGTGACGGCTATAGACTGGAACTGCGGGCGAATGACCGATCAATAATTAATCGGCAATCAGAGTAATCACGAAATGGAAGTTCACTGCCGTCCTCATTGGGGAGTCGTCACTTCGATTGATTATAAAATTATAATTTTCTGATTAATGATTGACGATTTCATTATGATCAATTATTATTTTAGCTTCATTTTACTTCCATTATTTATGAAGCTGGTGATTATCGATTACTAATTAATTATAATTATTAATTATTGTCCTATACACTTCCTCGTTCTCTTTTTTTCTTTCTCTTTTACATTTTACATCTAGATCCAGCATAAATAATAACTTCATTTTTGGGAGATGTAAAAACATATTTCGCATTTATCGAATTAATTTAAGTTTAGAAATTTTTCGAAGTAAAAATAGTTTAGATTGACTTTAATATTTATACTTTTAATATTCGAGATGAAGTTTAGGCCCACCGTTTTCTTTACAATTACATCGATTTTTCAAGCTGATAAAGTTGATCTCCGGCAAGTGGCGCCTCTACGCGACGACTTTTCGATATAATTCAGTCGACAAAATTTTCAAATGGTTTTTACTTGTTATTCACTCCTTCGCGTTCGCTTATTGCGCAAAATGCACGTTTATGTGCATAAATAACACGTGTTAGTCATGTCTTTTGTACGTCTGTTGTGTAACACGAATGAAGAATAAATGACCGAGTTGGTGCTGAAGCACGTAAATTTCTTTCACAGTTTCTTCGTGCATTTAATAAAACTTCTATGTCCATTTCTATTAATGTAAGTTTCTAATAATACAGATAATCTAGATTTTAATCTCGGTGTAATTTATTTTTTTTTTTATTCTAAGAATTAGAAAAAGATAACAAGTGAATTAAACCGAAATTATTAATAATTAATAGATATTGGCAGAAAGAGATTAATCATATAACTTCTTTCTTCAATCTTCTTTCTCTTCAACAAGATTACACACTGAAATATCTATATTCTTTTTGCATAAAAAACGTGCTACTAAAAGAAATCCGACATATCGCAATAATTTCAACTATGAATATTCATTTCATAATGAAATGATGAATTTATTAACTTATTCTCGCCGCGATGATATAAAAAGAGAGATAGATTCTCGAAGCTGAATTGTACATTAATGATCTCTATAATTTGATTGCCTTGAAATATCGCAATGATGAAAGAAGTTACGAAATCAAATAACCAGGTGAAATCGATAATAGTTGCAAATCGAATGGCCGATGGTGGAAACGTTTTACGTTCAGCATCGAATTCGTCACTGGACCAAAACGAGAATAGATGTTATAGATGCGCGCTCGCCATTTTGGGTCCAAAACGTGATTGTTTCATATCGCGACAATAGAAATCTCAAAATAGACATCTCGCTTTAGACGGAACAAAATGGTCGCGCGTGAGTTTGCTGGTAAACGTGGCGTTAAATAGAGACGAGGATATGGGCCATGGGAAACGTCGTGCACTCTCGCAAGTGTTCGAGGCCGTCTTTGCTACTATCGCTGCGGTTTCGAAACAGCTTTTTTTCCAGGTGACAAATGACCGTGTCAGCAAGCCAGCGTCGTTTCCTTTGGCAAACAGCGCGATTACGCGGCCCCGTGAAAATCAATCAATGCACTATTAGCGCGTTAGTGTGTTATCGGTAATATGTTCTCTCTCGCCTTCATCTCTCCCCCTCTCTCTCTCTCTCCCTCTCTCTCTCTCTCTCTCTCTCTCTCTCCTCCCTCCTCTCTCTCTCTCTCTCTCTCTCTCTCTCTCTCTTTCTTCCTGCACGTGTTCCCATAACATTTTGTGATAACTGTTGCATTAACAATGCTTTTTAATTCACTAGAATATTAATATATTTAACTCTCTAACAATGATTTTCTTTTCTTAATGTTTTGCCCACATATGATAAGATGCAATTTCGAATATTGAACATATATTTTCATTTTTTGATTATATCATTTTTATTTGATTATTTCATTTTATTATTTTTATCATTATATATACATATATATATATATATATATATAAAATAAAAAATATTAAGTTTAATAATTAGAATTAGTTTAAAATTAAATTAGTTGATACATGAATATGAGAATATAAGAAACAATTGTTGATTTGTTAAAATAAATCTTTTAATTTCAGGAAATTATTCGAAAATTTATCGCAGTACATGCAATTCTGAATATAGAATTATCAAATACAGGCATTATCAAATTGTCATATTACTAAATTTATCACTGGTATTTCCAAATTATACATAGATGACAGATATTATTCCGTAATTATATTGAAAGAGAAAGGTTCAAAGATTGGAATTGAAGTGATAAATCTGTTTTCAATAATGTAAATATAATAATACAACGAAATATTTCGCGAAATGATATATTTAATAGTATGGCAATTTTAAAGAAAATGTGCTTATTTTTGCACGAAAAATAATTTATTTCTGATTAAAGAAAGAGGAAAGGTTTTCTAACATAACTTTGAGATCAGGATTATCAATCTTTGTACCTTGAAAATTGGATTTAAATCTTATTTTGTTCAGAATTGCGCGATGTATGTATGACATTGTATCATCATACCTATGTTTCGCATACTCCTATCACAATTATATTTTATACTAAGATTACAAAATTTACTTACATATAATACATCAATATTTACATGTGTATATATTAATTATACACATGTAAATACACATCTTCGGAAGCTATGTGAAAGTAAATTTTTGCAGAATTTCTAATAAAAAAATTGAAACGCAAATCGAACTGTCTTCACAACCTATTAAAGGTCAAGAAATATTCTGTACTTTTTACCGTGTCAATGATGTCTTTTTAATGGCGCATGAACCTCAAAGCACTCGGCTTGACCTCGTAACATACGAGTTGTCGTTACACACGATATCGAAAGAAACGGAAGAGGATGACGACGACGACGACAACGACACAGTAGATATTGTTTCGCCGAGGTTTCTCGCGGTGATAAATGACCGTGTCCACGTTTCTCGGTTCCTCGGTTGTACGAGGATATATGAACGCGTACGAAGTCGGACGGTCGAATGGTCGAAGAGTAATTGGCAGTTACGTGGTGGACGTAATCCAATTTATCATTTGGCGAAGGAAACGGGAGTAATATCTCCGGGAGAGATAACGTGGGACGCGCATTATGTTTAATCGCGAAAGGAATACGCACAGCAAAAATTCCGAATTGTCCGCACAGCGGGGATGTATTCAGAGACACGTCTATCCATAACGTTTTTGCCACGTTTTCGCGCGAATTCCTGGCTTGATTTGCTAAAAATCGCTCTTCGACTTTGATCGCCTTAATTAACTTATAAGAATTATTAGCGAGCGAATGGTTTTTAAGTAGAGAGAAAAATCGATACACGGGTTATCTAGAAGTGATCCTGTAGACTGAACGCGTGACGGTAGAGAGAACACCCTGTATCAAGCCTGCCCGTTATTTGTATCGCGCGCATTAATAATTCATCGTTCTAAAGCGCAACTCGTGCGCTTTCTAAGCAACGCTCTTAATCCCACCATCCATAATCTGTACGCTCGTAGTATCAGGAGCATTATTTTCAAGGCGGGCGCGCCCGCGCGCGTGGCCAAGCGGAGATATAAATAAACGATCGCTTAATAGCGCTGGCACGGTGCCCGATAAACAATTTCGATGCCACGGTGATCCGTGGTGGTGGTGGTGGTGGTGGTGGTGGTGGTGATGGTGGTGGTGGTGGTGTGGTGGTGGTGGTTTCGCGATATTAGCGGTAAGTTTCGTTATCCCGTTCCGCGGAGCAAATCGGGAAGGGGGAGGGTTGCATTACGCGAGCGCGTTTATGGTTGAATTTCACGGAAGTTTGTCCGCGCGCGCCTTCTTCGGGGTCGTTCACCCGCGCGAACGAACGAACGAACGAACGAACGAACGCGAATCTGACAGTTTGATCGGAGAAGAAAAGTTTTCGGCCGCGTTTAAAATCGCGGGCGATCGCGACCGGCTGTACTGCGTTGCGGATCGTGCCGCACCTGGCCTGCGGTATTATATCGCGCCGGATCTAGGATCCCTGCCCTTTCCAACCCTCTGCCCATTGTCCCGCTCGCCCTTCTCCTACCGGAGAACCGGAATCTCTCACGCATCTCTCTCGCCGTGACGGCAAAGAACTGGCTGTCTTTCCGCTTTATTATCTCGTACGTCAGCGAAGATATTCCTGTCGTAACGTCGCGAGACGGTATTGTCGCGAAGTTACTTGCGGCCTGTAAAAGAAGTTATCGCGGATACATCCCGCAAGTGCTTCATTCTCGTTAAAACGATTTCAACGGCAACGACTTCGTTGAAGTGAGAATGTCTTAACTTTTATTCAAATGACTGTTTTCTCCTCCCTGTCGAAAGAAGCGACGGTCTTGCCTTGTAATGGTTACTCGCAATCTAAACTTTTCGTAATTGGACATTGAAATACTTTAAAGGTACTTAAGATACATTATGTAAGGTCGATGAAAATCGCTCATCTTCTCTCCGCAAAAGCATAAATATATTTAAATATATTTAATGAAAATATAACTATCTCAATAACATAGAGTTTGAATATATTCGAAGGATATCGTATAAGTAAATTTAAATTCCTTCTGTATATTCGAGACATTATGCATTATGTTATACACGTACAACATAAATATAATATAATTTAATACAATATAAATATTATATTAAAAATAACTTACATTCAAGTTTTTTATCATCCAAAGATTATATCTATGTATTCAGCATAAGGAATGTGTATATTTCCCAGATACATTTACTATATATTAGAATATAATCTCAATACATATTGAGAAAAAGAAATAATTGGATGTACTCAATATATTTTTTTATAATGTATATCTCAGAAAGGAATGTAATCTATTTCGATAATATCCTTCGAATGTCTCACAATCTACATGTCTTGTAAGGATAAGGTAATATATAAAATATAAGCTATAAAAAAAGAATAAGATAAAATATAAGTACGAATATAATAAATTAGAGTATTAGCTAAGAATTATTAGTAGATAAAAGAATAATTAGTAGATATCATTAAACATGTATAAATTTGTTTTGAAATGAATTTTACGTGTTCAATTCTTGAATGGCCTCGATATAGGTGCCTTACGCAGACGCGTCCCTGAAATATGCGTTCAGAGCGTGAAACCGGTTTCATATGGCAAGTAATTTCACAATATCATAGTTATGCGAAAATAAGACTTATATAAAAGAGATGGATTCTCATTGGAGACGAGAGCAAAATAGAGACATAGATGGGAATATAGACGTTTGAAGGCGTTGTTAAAAAAATTGCATTACTTATACTTGCGATTAAACTTTGAAAAAATTTATATGCGTACATATCTTCTGTTATATAATTATCTTCCATATTTTATATAATTTATTTTTTTATTAAATAGCTTTATGTGCTATTTATCAATAGTGTTATAAAAATAGATGCTACCTCAGAATACATTTATGCATCGTAAAATAAGTCCTATAAAATATTTCTTTTCTAATGAGTATGTTGTTTAGGAGAAAAGTTGTTCTTTTCTAAGATTATGTAATTTTTACTACCCTTTTTCGATTTTAATCTAAAAACGAACACGGAAGTCTTATACAGAGTTTGAGAGATACAAGGAAGAGGACTGAAGACGATGCAGGAGACTGAAACAAGAGTTTGGGAACCTCTGCTATCGTATACGATGCCTCTCGTTCCCCCGTGTGATCACGCTCCTGAGTGTGCGTGGCCGCGGTGCGCGACGGTTCTTTGACTCGGTGCCGGGAGTCAGTCAACCCGGTGACGGCTTCCAGGCTGCGTGCTGGTCTCTGCCAAGCGTGGTCCTCGGTGCTCGGAGCCAAGGTGGCGAACGCGGGTCCGCGTGTGCGTACGTGCGTACGAGATCGGCAAGTCGGGTAACGTGCGCGGGATTTATCGAGGATCAACGAACGACGATTCGTCGGCGATCTCAAAGCCGAGATCGTTGCACGTGGGAAAACCCGACGTCGGAGGGAACTTTCGGGCGCCTGCTCTGAAAATGCGAAAAGCCCGCGATGCGCGCGGTCGACAGGTGACACGTTCACGCTGAAGACGCGAAAGAGTTAGCGTCCCCCAGTACTCGCAGTGTGACGAGACGAGTGCGTCGTCCCGCTTCCTTCGAAACGCGATGCATCGTCAACGAGCGTGACGGTAAGCGGATCGAGGGATTTTTCGGCGCGATCGATACGCGGTCGGACCGTCGCGCGTGAGCCGATTGTGGGATTCATTGTGGGATCCGCTTGTGGCAACGAGAACGATGAAACCAGGAAGCGCGGGTGTGATCTCGAGGTCGATCTAGCCGTATAAGCGATAGATCAACCTTCTTTCCCGGCGTCCCACGCGCGTGCTTTGAAATCTCTCTCATCTCTTTCACATCGATCGCAAGCAGAGGCCTGCTTATGATTTATGTTCCGCAACGACTGTTTTAGAGAGAATCTATAGGATCGCTCCGTCTCATTGGATTCGACCGGATCTTCGGCTTCGGAGGCAACGCGCTTTCCCGATAGAAGAAATCATCCTGTGAGTGTCATCCTGCACGACGAGTCGAAGTAGTCGCACCGTTCGCAAGAAAGCGCACCTTGACGAATCTCTCGAGTACCTCCGCTCTTTCTGCGTTCTACCGCATTCTAAACGCGAAGTGCGTTCGATCTCGGCGCGATCGGCGATTGGTGATCGGTGAAAGGAGATCAACGCGGGGACCTTCGGCGCCGCATCCGCCACCGTCGCCATCCGCCATCCTGACGGAATCCTGCAGACCCAGCGAACGCAGAGGCGGTCCGAGCTGCCGCGGCTCGAGAGGATCCACGAGGAATTCCCCACGGACACCAGGACGATCGCCAGACGACGTACCGCCGCATCCGCGATGGAGGACGAGCTGCGGTGCCCCTGCTGCAAGGAGCTGTTTGTGGAACCGGTGCTGTTACCCTGCTGGCACGCGCTGTGCCTGGCCTGCGCGGTAAATCTGCAGGCGCCGCCGGACTCTCCGCCGGAATCCACCGCCGACTCGTCCAACGCGCCCGGCTCCGATCAAGAGGCCGACAAGCTGTCGATCCTGTCGGAGACCGACTCCGGGGTGGTTTGCAGCAGCACGTCCACCAGCTCCCGGCCGGGCAGCTACGTCGGCACCCCGGGGAACGGCGGCTTCCCGCCGTCCGGCGGTACCCTCTGCCTCTCGTGCCCGGTTTGCCAGAAGACCGTCTACTTCGACGAGGGCGGCGCTCACAATCTGCCCAAATACCGCGCGATGCAGCACATCGTCGAGAAGTACCAGGAGTCGCGGAACTCACGGCTGCAGTGCCAGATGTGCGAGGGGGAGCCGCGCGATGCAACGGTCGCGTGCGAACAGTGCGAGGTTAGCGCGAGATGCCTGTTTGTATGTACGGGGAAATATGGTCGGGGATTGACAAATAGGGGGGGGGGGGTGGGAGACACGGATAGCGTGAAGAGAACGTGTTGTCGCACCGCGAGCGTGATTTTTTTCAGAGCTATGCTAGAACGCGTCAGATTAGCGCGAGATTAGGGACTTGACGACTAAATGAGATTGAATGAGATTTATAACGCGAAAGTAATGACAAGACATATTGAATGTGTAAGATCTGGAATTTCTGACTGGAATTAAACGGTCACTCGAGTTAAAACGGAGGAATAATTGGAATTGTTGGCACGTTAATATCGATCAAATCTTCTTCGTTTGCGAACGTGGCATATGGATACGTTTAATGAGAATCGAAAACTTTGCAGAAATGGCACGATGAGCTTTTAAACAAAAATTTTGCTAGTTATTAAATTACATTATTTCACTTTTATTTTAATTTTATTAATGAATAGGGAAACAAGAAATTTTAATAGTTTATCATAATTATGAATTATTCCTTTACTTAATCTTTACAAATATTTGAAGAAGATATTTTTCAAATGCTATAACTAAAGAATTAAGTTTTCTTATAGCGAATTTCGCGTGGCTACTTTTAAATTTCGCAACTTAGAAACTTTATTATGAATCAGTTAAAAGCTAATTCAAAGAGAATATTTGAAAATAAATATTGCTAAATGCGACTTCATATAAATATTTATCTATAATCAGATAAATTCTATTTACGAAGAAAGAATTATTTCTTCTTCTATTTCTTAGTTTTTTCTTTCATTCGATCCATCTTTCGTATTTCTACGGGCTTTCTCTATTCATGGGGTGGGGGGAGGTCTATGTGTATAGGAATATCTGTGTCGTCGGATCAAACAGAAGATCACGTAGTGTAATATCCGTGCGAGCTTTTCATTATTTTCATTTTTCCACTTTTGGCTCTGTAAAAAGCTTCTTCCCTCAGCCGAGAAAGGGAAGAAAAAAGTCTGAGACGCTCGCGGCCTTACTTAAAAATATATCAGTCTGAATCATAAAGTAGCGCCAGAACTTTCGAAATTTAATTAAAATTTGAACAAAGGTAAATCTACGGATGAATTAAAAGTCAGCATCCCCTAATAATTATCGTGCTTTTCCAGTGTCCCTCATCTCATCGCGATTGCTCGATAAAAATCGTGATGCTTTTGCTGAACGCGATGTTATATCGGCCGAAAGATAATGCCTAATCCATCTCTTGTCGTTTTCCTTCCTCGATATTTCTATCCTGACGCTTTGATTCGCCGGCTCTCTACGAAAACTTCTGCCGCGCCGTAAGATCGACATCGGGAAAAGTTTCCAAGGCTACCATTCTTAACGACCGCGGCATCAGCCGTGTTTATTTCTCTTGTGTGCTTTCCTCATCCAGGGGCTCGTTAACTCCCCCTCGTTCTTCCTCGAAGTCCACTTCATAACTTTTCTCTTCGCGGTATAAGCACACTAAAGCCGCTCTCGTGTACAAGAGTCGCGTCTATATCGTTATCGACATTAATATCGAGCGTTATATGGGCGTGTCGTGCAGAAAGACAAAAATTTCGCTGGCCGAAATCGAGTATGAGGGGCAAACGACGTACGAGATGTGCAATCAAATTACTTACTACCAAACTCCCACACAACCAGATGTCCTCTGTTAATTTCACATCGAACAGATGCGTCGAACGTCGCGTTTGTTTATGAGAAGAGATATTTCTATCTTGCTTTTAGCCCTCCTGGATGGAATGCGATGAATTACATCGAATAATGCTTATTGTTCCAATTTGTCCAATGTAAAAAAAAGATATACGCGCATGTTATGTATTCAAGTCACATGTAAATATCTTCCTATTATCATAGTAATCTTTCTACTTTTCTTTTTTTTTTATGAATAGAGTGCGACATTATAATTTTAAATATTTTTTTATCATAATATAATTTTACGAAATTCTACGAAATTTTCGTAGTTTGAGTAAACGGGAAACGAGATTTTTCTGGACGATAGTTAGTCCCGGCTTGCGCGATATGTTTGCACAATATATTCGCGCAAATCGTCGCCACGTTGCATTTACACTTTCACAAAGAGAGCGATTTTATATTGTTCGACGTTCTGTTTGAAAAGATCGAGTTACCGCGCTTCGGAGTGCGCCGCGTCGCATGAAATATCTTGTTGCGCGACAACGTTGTTCGCCAATCGCACACCCTCGTCTCGCCTCCCCCTTGCTCGTTTTCCTCCGAAGTGTTAAATTTCATTTTCGGCCCTCTCGGTCCCTCCGGTACACCGCGTTGCGAGACGCAAGTGGCGGATATTTTTTCTGTGATTTTACACTCGTGTCCGCCGCGGTACTGTGCTCGGCCGCTCCTCGTTGCGCGGAAAAAAAAGGGGAGAATCGATGGTGCCTGCAATTTCATTCGTTGCCGGCAACATTTTCGCACGACGACAATATCTCGGCTATCGATAATCGAAATGATATTATTTTCGGAAAGGAAATACCGAGCGAACGCGGAATAATGTCTGACGACATTGGACGAAAATTGCAAAAATTACATCCCAGAAGAAAATATTCTTGAAATAAATGATTATTAACGAATTCAGCTTGTACGTTAATGCAAGTTCGATAAAATAGAGTGTACTTGACGCTGAATGCTTGAAAAGAAATTTTCTCGGTATATATCCGAATATATCCTCGTGCTTTTATTATTTAAAACAAAGCGATGAAAAAAACAAAGAGAAAATATCCCAGCTGCTGAAACTTTATCGATTTTTTTTTATAACGATAACTTTTTTTAGACATCCGATTAGATATTGTGAATATGTTGAAAATCGATATCGTTTCTCCCTCGTTATTCTCCATTTTAATATGTCTCTTGTTAATTCGAACATCAATGCTGTTCTTTCAGGTTTTATACTGCGATGCCTGCAGGGAGTCCTGCCATCCGAAAAGGGGCCCATTGGCGGCTCATAACCTGGGACCACCGAGAGGCAGCTGGCAATTAAGTGGGAATAAGGGTTCCCGACCCGAGGGCACACCGATCTGCAATGACCATAATGGCGAAGCGGTAACCCTCTACTGTGCCCTCTGCAAAATCGCGATATGCGCCCTGTGTCTTCGTGATCGTCACGCTGCGCATCCTCACGACGTTCTACCCTTGGCCGCTGCTTGCAAAGCACAAAAGGTAAGTGATAAACAATCCTCGAGATTTGCACGAATTTGCGCGTGAAATTTTTCATCATCGTGATTAATTCCTCGAAAAACGATAAATTTGATCGCGAAGATAATCGCGATGATCAAATTAAAAGGGTGTTTCTCGTTATAATTAAAATGAAGACTAGGAAGACATAAGAATAAGAAAAAAAAAAATGACTAAAATTGCTAAAAAAAGATTATATGGAAAAAATTATACGGATCTCAAGATAATTCAGATAACCGTTAGATTCACAACGATTTGCAATACGATATTGAAGTCGAAATCTCGAACTGCCAACTCGGGTCTCCCGAGCGATTGCATCGAGGGACGCAGGGAGGGACTAACTGTAGATTTTATATGTATTGAAGAACGGCGTTGTGTGCCGGCGGAATACACGCGGCGCGATAATATATGTATATTTGATGATGAACTCCGGCGCGTAATTTATGTGCCTAGCCGTACGGGCAAAATCCGAAAATAATGGATGATGCGGTGCCAAGCCCGTTAACACGACCAATAATTGAGTTTCAATTTACCCGCTCGTATGTACACTATACGCACCTCGACGCGCATGAAACGCAGTAGTTTTGCGCCAAAGCTCCCGTTCTTGTTCTCCTATCGCATTTTGCATGCCGCGGGATCTCGCGTTTCTATCTCGCGAGTCGTTAGCGGGATCGACGATGAAAAATACATTGCTGTTCTGCTAATCAATCACATATACATACGCGCGTATTTGCGTATCTCCCCGCCGAAATTGGAGCGTGGCTAAACGCGCGTAAAATATGTCACGTAATTGATCGTAATCAGGCGTTAATATAATTGCGCGATTAGATATCACACCGTGCAATTAAATTTTCCAACTCGCCCATATACGAAATTGTATATTCGCAACGAACGTGTGCGCGTGTACATTTCATATTTCTGCCTCGCTCCTTATCGATATCGCTCGCGAGACATCGTCGGCGAGAATATTAGCGAGAACATCCATTCTTTATCGAGGAACACTTTATAAAGGCGGACGATGGAGATACGACTCTTAACGCACTGGCAACTATCGCACTTTTCATACTTCAAAGCGCCACCGGGCGCTTATCGCGTTTCCCCGCGTTGTCGTCGCGAGATAACACCCGCGCAAATTGCGTCGCGTACGTACGGCGAAATTGCAGCAGCGAGAGAGAAATGGCAACGATCTTGCGAAGGCGACGTATGTCGCCTTCGTGCGTCGCGCTCGTCCGCGCTCGTTCGCGTTCGTCCTCTCTCGGGGAATGCAACGGACGGGATGCGTACCGGACAGCGCAACGACACGATACTCGGGCTACATCCGATCGACAGCTGGTTTCGATATCGCGTGTTCCGCGTGGGTGTGTGCGAACTACCCCCTGTCCCCTCCCCCCCTCTCCTTCTCGTGCGCTACACACGTTGCTGCCGTCGTGTTTCGCTCTCGACCGACACCGCGCTCGGCCTGGACGCCGACACCTGGCCACTTCCTGACATATGGAGCCCACTCGCTCGTTGCGCTTGGTCCCATCATCCGCCGGGAATCACTTCCTCCGCGATTAATCTGATAAATTGCCCGCACGGCCCAGTCAAAACCGCCTGACTCCAGCAATTTCGTAATTGATTGCCGTCGGACAGGCCGGGCCCGCGTGGACGCTCGCTTTTGTTTGCACTCGCCAGCCCCATTATATCTCGAGACGGCGCGGCCAATGGTCGATTTCGGTCAGTTAAGATCAATCGCACTTATGCCCGCACGTTGCGAGCAAAAAAAACGCACCGCGCTTTAGTTATCGATGTCCGGTTGTAATGTATGCTAATCGCCCCCGGCGAATCTATTGCGGATAATTCCACGACGGACGGAGCGAGTTGCCTCGGGGTTTCGTTTTGTACGTACTCTGTTTACCCGGTAAATACCACGTTTCAGAAAGCAGTTATATTATAATTCCATACTCGCTATTGATATTGAACTTGCGCGATGTTTGTTTCTTTCAACCGGCCGGAGGAGATATTGATCGCCCGCTCATAACGCATCGCTGCACGATCGCAGGATGGGAACGTAATTGAAAATAATCCGATTATTTGTCAATCACGTCGTTAGGTATTTTCACCGGTTAGTCGGTATACAATTTAGCCGAATAGCGTCTTCTGAATAATGCATCTCGCCGGGGGCGTTTATCGAGGCCGAAGGGAGAACAGGGCGGAAGGGAGGGACCCGCTGAAAGTGCAGTCGCGATAAAGTAATTTGCAACAGGCTCGTTTATCAGCTGAAGGGGGGGGGGGAAGGGACTGTGCGAAGATACCGGGTCGACGGGATCGTAGGTACGGGTGCGGGTCGCAATCATGTCAGTTGCGATCCGCTCCCCGACGCGAAACGTTATGTCGCGTTTTGACACGTAATCATCCGTCACTTTGTCTTCTCTGTTTCTCTCCCTTTTCGCGTCGCCGCTCTCTCGGTCCGACCACCACCCGCATGTATGCACACATACACACACACACACACACACACACACACACACACACACACACAC